TACATGCTTTGCGCTATGAAAAATTACATTTTTGACGAGTTAAATACTTAAAGCGAATTCCCGTCAGTGAAGTTGGATTATACATACTGAGCGTCACAAAAGACCTATAATGGTGCAATATAAGTCTCGAGAAATAAATAACCGTCGAAAATCTATTCTAATCCATTGCAATGTCAGAGGGTTAAAAACATACGAATAAATCTATCTATACGTGGTGCACAAGTGCGCGTTATATATATTATTTCCTTATCACATTTTCTTCTTTCTTTTGACCTGCTCGTACTTGTACAAATGGCAATACTTCTTTGGTATTTTACCCATTCCAATACATTTAATTTCGCCGTATCAATTACTCGTGGTTTTTCTTCTTTTTTTTTTTTCATCTCATTTGACGACACCGATAAATGAAGTACGTTGTATTTATATACAAAATCCGAGGCTATCAGAAACCTCAAGTTGTAAAGAATTCAGCAAAAATTTCTGTCACGCGGTATTATTGTTTCTTTCTTTTCGTATATTGTATACCCATTATAGTACGTAAATCCGATTATTTTTAATATGGCCTGATGAACAACGACGGATTCTTCATTTAATTTCACTCGCTATCACACGCACAACATGTTCTATTGCGATTTTTAAAGAAAACTGAACCACACATACCAACACGATGTTAATCCCTCCGGGTACACTGTTGCGTACATAGCACACATCGTTTTCATCACACATATACACACATGATATCGGTCCGTAAGTCAGAAACCTCGTTATAGTTAGACGTATTTTTTTCGTCTGACTCCCTAGTATGCAGTCACTTGGGCAGAAAATCCAAAAAGTCGTATATATAATATATTATCTAACCGACAGATCTAATGCGCGTATCACGCGGAAAAAAGAAATGATTATTCTTTTCTCTCGTTTTAGTTTTTTTTTGTTTGTTCACGTCACAGCCTTTCCTACCTAACTTAACCGTTCTTTACACAGTTACACGATGATTCCTATTCCCCTTTCTCCATTTTATTTGTTAGTGAATTCATTTGTATAGAGTATTATCAAGAGTGTATACCACCTATATGTATAATGGTGGTGCGTGATGAACTTAGCAACTAGAAAAGTTATTTGATTTTCGTAACCTATAAAGTAACAATTGTTTTAATTTTTAACGAAAATATGTTTAAGATTTCAACAAGTACTATATTATACATTTTGCGTTTTGTATAAACTCAGTAAAAACTAAATAGTAATTTATATGAACATCTAAACATAACGCATTAAATTTATTATTATTTTTTTTTTTTTCTATTAGATAAAATAGAATATTTGCAATCTGTAATTTATATACATACAATAAGTAAAAATGATAACAAAGAAAAGGTAAGTATAACATGAATGGCGTGAGGAGGGAGGTCCACCAGTGTGGATACCCTCTAACTTGGGGGAAATTAATTATTAAACGAAAAAAATTGTAATTTGTTTCAGGACTTGTATAACTTAACAATTATTATTGATCCATTCAAATTATTTTATCTAAATTTTAAATGCTACTGTAAATAATAGACAATACATTAACTCAATATTTAATATTTTTAATTTTTCAGAACAATTTTATGTGCTTTGAATTTAGAATAATTTTATAGTAACAGAAGATATCTTATTATACTCAGTTGTATTCTACAATATATCTACAATAACTTTAGATATAAACAATAATAATTTAACAAATTGATGTCTTTTAAAGTTATAATTTTAGCTACATTGTACATTTTAATAATACATTTATACAATATTATGCCAGCTTTAAATATAGGTGCTTACCTACCCATCTATTTTCTGACATTTTTTCGAAATATTATTTTGGCTTACTACGTGCCTTGATATATAGCTATATAGTTGCGTGTAGCAAGCGTGTTACACGTACCCTTCATACCCAATGCCATCAATAACAATAATACACGCGCCTGTGTCTTCATACATGTCTATATTTTAAAAAAATATGTGGCCACGTGTGTATGCAATTTGTCAACCTATTCATATTCATATTATTTATACGATATGGTCAAGCGAAACAAAAACGTTGTCTTACGCCGTAACAAATCACAATGTAACTTGTCCAAATACATAATAATGTAGGTTACATGATACTTATATAAAATGTTTGGAATTATAATTTATTATTTGTATTCCGTAGATCATACCAACAACATAAATATGCTATTATGGTGGTTTTGTTCCTATAAAAAGGTCGATAAAATAATAACATAGATAAAAAAATGATGTACAAAGATGTACCGAGAAATTTAATTTCAATAATATTTTTAAAATTTATCTATTTTCTGCAAATGGAAACATTTAGTAAAAACCAACAAAAATATTCAAACGAGTAAAAAGATTTCTCCTTATCTCTTTTATTGTTATCAAATAAAAAGTTGTTTATTTTATTAATTTTAAAAACATAATTCCAAAAAGCTATGGTTAATGTGATAGGCATGTAAATAAAGTAGATATTAACATATTATTCATTAAGTTTCAATTTTTTTCGTCTTTCACTATCTTCCTTATTCTTAATACATATCTTTTTTTTTTTTCTATGGATCGTTTAAATGTATTGATAATCAATAAAAATTTTGAGAAATATAATATTAAGCCAAAGAAAAAAAGTTATGTTAATTGTATTTTCAATATAATTATATATTTAATTTCATTACTATAATTATATTTAGTAGTAAATAAAATAATAGAAAAATAATAAAATATTAAGCTCTTGAATAATGATCAATAATACACGTTTTATATATTTTTGTATTTTAATACAATTCTAACGAAAATAGTTTTGTTATTTCACATTAATGAGCTTTTAAGATGTATCTTTAACTTGAAGTTAAGTCTTAAAACTTTAAATTACATAGTGTTTGTATTTATGATAACCACAAATTTCTATACTTCAAACTTTTGATGAGTTTTCTCAACATCAGTCATTTAATCTTTAATTTAGGTATTTAAAAATATCATATATAATTTTCCTACTATCAAAGCATTGTTCAATTTGTTTATAACGTTTATTGATTAGGTTAAATATTATATAATATTACGAAGAATCATTATTTCAAAAAATTAAATAGTTTTTAATAAAATATGATATTTATGCAATATAATTAAACATATATTTAAATATATATATATAAATAATTTGTGTTTTAAAAATAGATACTATAAGTAAATTAATAATTACAAAAATATTTTCAAACAGTTAATTTTAGTACTTAATTGAACACTTATAATTTGTTAACAAAAACTATATTTTTACGAAGACTTAACAGATTTTAGATTCGTGATCAATTATTAATAAATAATAACCATCTAATAGAATCATATATTAGTATGATATTATAACTTTAGTACTGTTTATTACTATTTATCATAAAACAATACACATTTTACTGTCAATATCAAATAAAATTCATTCTTAAAAAAAAAAAAAATAATAAGATAAAACATTCTTACTTTAAAAATAAAGTTATTGTTATAATTACTATATGAACATCTAACTCCTGTAAATTTAGTAAACTTACCAAGGTTGAAATTGGGATTGAAAGTATAAATCAATATGATTAAATAATTAGAAATTGGTGAATTTAACAAAACAAACCACAACTAATTTCAATGAATTTCCTAAATCATTCAAAACTTTATTCGAATAAAATCATAAGTTTCAATAGAGTATGACTAACCTACATGAATTAAAATTTTTTATTTTTCAAAATATATATTCAATTTTTAAACAAAACAAAGAAAAGTAATTTTTAATCTTTCTTGACTGAAACAAAATTAATAAATTATTGAGCATTTAAGTCATATCTACTTTTAAATTATAAGTTACATATTTCTATGAAAAATGATTTTTTTTTATATTAAATATTTACCACTACGAGTATTGTATGCAATTGTCTTAAAAGATGTACTCAATCACCATATATTCAAAATTTTTATCATCTCTTTTCAAGATTTGTTCAATAAGATTGATTTAACTGAAAGGAATGTAAACTTTTAATGTACCTACACATTTTAAATTGTTTTGTTATTTATTCATTAATTTTTTATTTTAATCGCATGAACAATTTCTAAGTCGATGTAATTCTTGTCTTATTTTGTTGTAGTAATCAGTTATGAATTAGAGACTAGTGTACTGCACATAAATATAGCTTTATTTATTATTGTTGTTATATGGAAAAAATATAATTTATTTAATTTATTTAACTATACATTCTGAAATTTAATGGCTGTTATTATTATTCATTTGAAAATCTTTAAAGTTAAAATATTTAATAAACTAATAAGTTGTTTGATTGAATATTTTGGTCATGTATTATAATTATGCGATAATATTGTGGTATTGCTTTTATTTAGTTTAATTTTGGTATCTCAAATCTCGTTTTCAGTATATTGTTTTATTTTTTCATAATATTATATTTAAAAAAATATTTTAAATATTGAGTTGTCATTTTGTTTTATTTGAAAAATTGTGTTTGTTTTTTAAGATTCTCTATTATTCATTTTAATCAAATATCTGTGTACCGTGTTTTGTTGTTAAATGGGAGTTAATGAATAAAGAATAAAAATAATGAAAACTTTACTTTTTTTATATTGTAGTAGTAACGTATTACTTTAAAAATTATAATAGTATGTTATATAGTCGCATTTATTCATAATAAGCTGACTAAGTAAATTGAAAAATATGATTTGTGAGATTAGATAGTTACCAAGAATTATTATGTCACCATAAATATATAGTTACGGTTTTCTAAAGTTATAGGACACTGCAATTTTAGAAATGGACTGTACGTGTTCATTGCGGAGTAATAATCATTTTATTATTATATTTTTTGCAAACCAATATATGACATTCGATTACCATTTACATTGAAATTACTCCTTATTAAAATTATATAATAATGAAAAAGTCATGAAATTTGATCAAATTGTACGATATAATTTCGAACACTAACCTGTGGATAGTCGCCGTCCCTGGTCTGATAGTCAAATACGTAGAAAAATGATTTGGTCCTCCGATCCTTGTTGAGGTCGTCGGTGGCCGGTGTCTTCGGCTGACTTAGCATGTCACCGGTGTGCACCAGAGGTGCAACGTACTGGGCGTCACTGAGCGCCGCAATCGTCGCGTCCCTGGTGTTTATTGGGTGTAGGACAGTCCGTTCCCAGTCTGTGTACTCGTTGACGATGGTGAAAAATATCTCGGACAGGTGATAGCTGTATGCATTTCGAACATACGTGCGCAAGATCTTATCTCGGCGCTCTCCTTCAAAGCCAGCCTGAAACGAGAGAGTATCAGATAAATATATGCTATGAAAATGATTTAGGAGAGGATTAGAAATATATAGACAGAAAAAGAAAAAATGAAAGAGAGAGTGAGAGAGAAATGATAAGAGTCAAACAATGACATGGAGTTACAGTGGTGAAAATGGGTATGAGAGGAGGAAAGGACTTTTAAATTTCTTGTACGAGTCGGTGATCCCGTGGGAATAGGAATTGGACGTGACAGAAAAACGTGGTAAGATATTATATGCGTTAAAATGAAATTTCTCTCCAGAGTCATTTCAAAAACACCTAAAAGAGAAATTAAAGAGACCAAAGTTTTTGGTTGTTGTTTTACTCAAACCTCTGCTGCTTTTCATTTCAACTATCACAACGAGGTGGTATCAATGATAATATATTTCGTTTTTGGTTTAATACGTGGGAACGTATATCATTAAAAATCGCATTATGCCGTATAAAATAAAATGGTTTTTTAAATTGTATTCAATACAGAAAATAAACATAGTTAAGATCACCAACAAAATCGTTTTATGCGATGATCAGAAACAAATGTTTAATTTTTAAACACTTGATTAAAGTAAATAAAAATAAAAATAAAAAAAAAACATCGAAACATGAGTTTTATATCTAAAATAAGTTACACCATACAAATAATAATTATATAATCTGTTTACTGTTAATTTTCGACTGACGTTTTTTTATGACATATGTTGAGCTTTGAAGAATTTGATGAACTAGAACGATTTTTATGTATTCTCAATGTGGAATAAATTTGTAGAATTGAGTTATAGTATATTTTATTTATAAATAGTCTTATATAGTGTATTATTACTTTATATAGATTAGAGATAGACAACAGTTGCGTCACTAGTTATTAGTGGTTTAACGAGATTTTTTGAATAGTGAGCTATTCAAAAATTATTGATTTTAATTTCTGAATATTTTTTGTAATTTATTAACATATGTTGTAGATTCTTAATAAAAATAAGTATTTAAACCCTAAAATTATTATAAATTCAAAAGTATATTTTATATATTAATTTATTTTATATAAATAACTTAAAATTCACTAAATATCTAAGTAAATCAAGTAAAAACTATGTCTTAAAAAAATATTTCAAAAAAGCTATTACATCGATCCAATAAAAAGTTTTGAACTAACAAAATGAAAAAAAAAATAGTTTAATATAAAGCAAAATTAATTTTTACAAGAAAGATACTATACGCAATAACTTTGTTTTATTATATAGTTTCTTTTAATAAACTTAAATTTACGAGGGGTAAAAACTGTCAGAAGTTAAAGACTACTGGTATTCTGTTTTTTATTGAGTATTGAAGTCAAGGAGTTTTATAATCTCCATTTTATTTTAAATTTTGAACATACATGATTTCGTATGTGATAATATTTTATTTTATATCAAGTCGTTTTACTTAAACTCAAGTTAAACACATTTGACTAAATTAAAGTTCCCAAAAATGCGTATACAACCAACACATAAAATTGTCTTCTTTAACTTTTAGAATAGTTTAATTTGAAACTTACTAAATAATCAACCATACTATAGTTAATTATAATTTTTGGTCGATGTTGAATATTCTATTTTTATATAATATTTTTTTTTCACTATTGACAAAAAAAGTCAATAAACTAAACGTAAGTCGTCAATAAAATTATGATTAGCTACAAACGGTATACAGGAAACTTGCTTGTACTAAATGTAATGATAAAGAGACTAACGGAAATTTTGGCGTGGGCGTGTTACCTGTATATCATTGGAGCTGAACCTCCAAAGCGCCTCGCTCGTGACAACGCCAAACAGCAGGTCATACTTGTTAATGCCGCTACCAAATTCGAATTTTTGAAACTTGCGGGCACCAAAAGCTACGCTGGACCCACTGTACCCATCAAATTCAGGCAGTAAATTTGTGATGACATCTTCCTGATAATTGCTCTTGACCACCACTCCGTCAACGCTAGGTCCAAACGCGCTTAGGTACGTGGGTAACGCAACGCCGGCAGACATCAACATATCTAGAGGCACTTCCCGCAAACAATCCACGATTGGTTCCGGGTTGTTTCCGGTCCCATCAGTTGTACAATTCACCTGTTTGGCCAGGTCCAGTGCGTATGACACAGGGTCCTCGACCAGAGCCCAGCTGCTCAGTGCCGAGCCCGACAGCAGTATCGCTCGACGGAAAAGTCCTATAAAATGCACACGCAATGGTTAAATTATTTGAATCTGTATTTCATAATTAATTTTGTATTTTGCATTTCAAGAACAATAATTATTAACAGGAATAATATTAAATTAGATAAACATGAGTACAAAAAATAGTTCAATTCACAAGTTTCAAAATGCTTAATATGTAGTTATGAAAATAAAAAACTACAAATAATGTAACAAAATTAGTATAAAAACATGAACTAGTTTTTTTGTTTTGTTTACCTATTTGAAATTAATTAACTAGTTATGTTCTAATTGTAATTCTAATTAAATGTTTTCAAAACAAAATTCATTATTGAAATGCACCAACAGTCTTTTTATAGACTAATTTTTGGTTATTTGGCATTTTGCTCGTTATTGTTTACACCACTGGTTCTCAAACTGGGGGGCGTGTACACGCAAGCAGTTATTACGAAATACAATTTTTATTGATTGTATAGATAGTTTATATGTAAAGTACACCAATAATGGTGATCAATTTTTTACAATTTATAGAAGGGGGGGAAGAATTTGATTCCTCTAAATTTATTGTTTTAGGTTTAAAAAATCCTCCCCCACTCTCCCGATAACCCATCTCGTCGTTGAAAACGAAATTGGCCCAGGGATCTCCACAACCAATAAAAAAAAAACCCTAATTAAGCTAAACTAAAACTAACCTAGCTTAGAATTGAAGTAGTGTTGTTTGGACACCCCCTTTTATCAAGCCGTCCAGTCTTGTAAATTATTAATCATATTACTTATTGTATAGCATAATACAGATTGTAAATATATTTAAAAAAAAAAAAAGGTGTAAAAAAGATATTTATGGATTGCACCGATTATTGGCCCTGTCGAACTATATTCATTTCTTTGGCTAATATTTTATTATATTATTAAACACTTAAACTTTGTAGAGAATTCATATTCAAATAATGTTGTTGACACTTTCACGAAGCAAATAATATATATTTATATCAATTGACAGCACATGTCGTGTTAGATTCATACCGTAATCTGTAGGTATATCAAGAAATAGATTAATTAGACATAATATACATTGTTACTATCGGAATTTAAAGTAAAAGTCTTATCTATTAAATTTTTAAATTTTCCAGTATGTTCTCTTGTTGACACGCATTGCATTATAGCATATCTTAAAATATTTTTTCATTCGTGTTGAATTTAAAAATACAAAATTATTAGTATTTAAGTGTTTATTGTTCACCAAACCTTATGAGTACATACGTAATACAAATTAAATCAGTAAAATCAGTAAAAATAAAAATTATAAATTTGAAAAAATATGTAACAAAAATGATTGTTAATGACTATTTAAATTAAAATATTTAACAGATACTTTAGTTATATTATTTGCTTATGTATTATTTTGTATTATAAGCTCGCGAATCAAAATAATTATGGAATGTAATACCTACAGGCTAAAATGTTTAATTTTATAAATTATGGTTAAGTATGTTTCAATTTGTCCTATAATTTATTTATAATGAATATAATTTAGTTTAGTTTAATTCTACAATACGTACTTACTATTTTGAGATACTAATGCTGTATAAAGTTGGGATAATCTAGGATTTTAGAGAAGGTTCAAAAGCTTTGAGGTACTTAATTTTAAAGTTTATCTTTTACACAGAAAATTCACAGAAAAAAAATAAATATTATTTTGTAATACTTAATTTAATTAAATGTATTAATTATTTATCAAAGATGTTTTTAAAGAGACTAATCTAACCTTAGAGCTTAAATAATTATAATTAATTAATATAATACTATTTATATTAATAATTTTACCTAAAAAACATATATTAAATTCTACAAAATAAAAAAAAATATATATATAAAAATAATTATAATTTATTTCCAATTCAATCATGGAGAACAAATTTTTAATATATTATGTTAATGATTTTTATCGATAGCAAAAATAGTTTTTTTTTTTTTAACAATAAAGATAATTATATTTCAGTTAAATGACAATTAAACATAGAAATAAACAAAGATTTTATATAAACTATGGATAAAAATATTATAATTTTTACAAATTATGATAATTGGTACCTATTAATAAGTTTTATAGGTAATATAACTTTATGGACTTGAATTAAATAAAATATATTTTAATGGTGCATAAAATTATAATCAAATTTGAAATATTTTGGGTTCATTGCTTAGAACAACATTGTAAATATAATGAATTAATATTCAAGTGTCGGTCTCAGTAAAGGGTGTTATTCATGAAAGTATAATGAGTACCCTTTGTTTTATTGATCTAAAACAGTATTACCAGAAAAGAAAATGGCATTATGTTTAAAAGAATTGTAACTCTGGTCCATTAAAATAATTAAATGCTTAATACTAAACAATTTTTCAATGTTTCTTAAAAAACAAACAAATTTGAATTTTAAAAGATATCAAATTAAAGATACTTTTTAAAAAATATGTCAGTAATATTTGTTAAGTCTCTTATTCATATTATATTCAACTGTTAGGTTTTTAATGTTTTTTTTACGCAAGTGTTTGTTTATGATTTTATAAACAATTGATTAATTTATAAAATTATGTTTAATTATTAGCGTTTATTTCTAAAACGTTCGTTTTAGTTTATTTTACTTAAAAACCTTAATACTTAATAGATATTTAATTTTAAAGAACTATAATTAAAGTATTATAAATAAGATCATATTTATATAGTACATACTATCTATTATATAAATATATTAATAATATTGATTTAAGTTATTATTAAATAATGAAAAAATATTGTTTACATTAAAAGCATAATTTTTAGAAATATTATATTTGTTTTTTATCACAGAAAAAAATATAAAAATAAGGTAAGGTTATAGGCCTAAAGCAATGTTTAAAAGTTTTTATATCAATCCTAACATCATCCATTATGACAAATATTAAAATAACTGATTTACATATTTTTGTATTTAATTATTTTAATTTTAATTAGAATAAAATTTTTACCAAAATACTATACCGTTAGTAGATTAAAATACAATTGTATTTTGTGTACAAGCATATACACATATTGAATATTGTAGATAGTAATAGTATTTATTTTCATTAATAACGTAAATTTAATATTTAATAATATAGCTTAATATGTTATAAAAGAATCATTGCTGACATTTTTATTTATCATAATTTTGTGGAATTCTAGAAATTCTATCCAAAATATCTAAATTTAATTATGGCTGTAAATAATAATTATAATATTATTGATATTACTCTTTAACATTACTTCTGTAGAAGATGTTTAAAATGAAGAGACACTGATATGATGCAGTTAAAATATTAAATCAATGGGATTTAATTATAATTTAATCCATGATTAGTTAATTTCAATTAGTAAAAATGATTGAAAATCGATAAAATAAATTAAAAAATAATTATAGTTTTTATTTAAATTCCAATTAAGTAATCCTTATTAAGACATTTCTACAATTATTTTGTAAAATGGAAACTTATGTACTATAAGTATATAAGTTCTTTAAATACATAACATACATAGGTACTAGAGTACTAAACACCATGCATAATGTATATATAATATATAATTTAGATAGATAATTAAAAAATAAAAATATTATGTTTATGTAGGACCTAACCCTAACCTTACGTTGTGTAAGTTTTTAATATCCTAGAGGCCTAGAAGTACTTACAATTTTTGAAACAAAAAATCGGATGCACAAATCTTTAGTAAAAATATTAAAACACGTTAAAGAAGATGAAATCTTGTAAACGTAAACAGTTACATAATTAATATATTTGAATATCCAATAATACAATACAGCGCATCTGAAATTGTATTCATTTTACGTATTAAGATTATCGTATTAATTCAAAAACGAAGTGCTAAAATTACTTTTTTTAGAATGCATTTAAAATTATTAAAAATATAGTAAAGCCGATACTTATGCTAAATAATGAGTCTTAACTTACAAATTCAGTAGAGTATGACCGATTTTATAAACTTAACGGTGTGCATTAAGTATAAGCAATTCAAATTTATTATAACAGATTGTATTATTCAAGGTCTACGAACGGAATAGCGTGTATTTCCTTTTGTACCTTTGCCCAATAGTGTATATAAACAATTAGCATACGATTAATTATTATTAATTCAGCGTTCATTGAAAAAAGTTACTTAAATAATGTATTTGCATCATTATTTTATTTTATTTTCAATTCGATTTAATACAATCCTTATCTATACCATATAAATATTATATTTGTACATTATTTAATGTTTAGTGCATTAAAATAAAAAAAAAAAGAATGTGTACCTACAAAAGTAAAGAACATTGAAGAGCCTAAAATAAAAATAAAAATGTACTATATCAATAATTGTCATTAGTTCATATTAAATATATTTATATATAATTTTTATATTTTTAAATACGTAAAAAAATAAATATTAATAATTTAATTTTCCTGCAAAGAAAAGCCTTCTTGTACTTAGAATATTAACATTTTAATAAATAATATTTCGAGTAGCTTATATTAATATCTTATAGACCAATCTATAATCATTTTTGTGTCAGATATATATATTTTTTAATTTTCATGGCATTTATAAACATTATGGATAAATTATCAAACACTTTTTTATTATTTTATAAGTTGCTCAATTTGTATTTTATTGATTTGAAAAGCTAATCAATTTTAGTTTTTATCAAATATTGAGTTTATTAAATTGATTTTATATAAATATGGTATCTTGTACCGAGTTTAATATTATATCTATCTAAAACAGACGAACACAATTATTTCGAATAAATATCAAGGGATATAATTCGTTTTTGGTTCAGGTTTAAGAAAATAGTTAAACATTAATCAATTCAATAAACACAAGCACATAAAAGGATAAATAACTTGAATCATCACTTAGGATCAAAAAATATAAATGTAAAATGAACCTATGTAAAATATATTGAGTTATGTTTAACAAAGGTGTTGTTAATATGTATTCAATAAGTTATTGTATAAATAATTTAGGGTGTAGGAATTTATAAAAAAAATCAAAATCAAAATATGAAAAACGAATACCAATTCATTAAAAATCATAAAGTGCCCATAATATAGAAAAATAATAATTAATATAAGTCAGTGTATGTTATTTGAACGTGCAGAGCACTTAATTTGGTAAAAAAAGTTTCAATAATTTTTCAAACAAGTAAATTTGGTTTTGATATGTTTTAAATAATGTCGTATAATAATTTTAATCAATCAAAACACTAATTAATATTGTCATTGTACAATACGAGTTTTATGTGGATGCGTTTATTTAGGAATATTATAAAATGAAGCGAGGAATAATAATAATAATAATAAAACAAAAAAATAATGACTGGCACAAAATTATGTTAGTAAAAAAAAAAAAACTATATATTATATATATTTTGGTATATTTTATTTCGCTTTAGGGCAAGCAGTCTATTATACTTGAAAACTTTAATATTTACGTATGGACTTGCTGTAGATACAAGTCCTCTCACACACTAACACACACATACACCGGCATTTGATCAACGTTATTAAAAATAATAACTTCGAGGTAGGTCGCAAAGCGATTGTGTGCGATTGGCCTGAGTCAGGGCTGATGACGTCTCATGGATGGCAGGGTAGCAAAGTTATAGATGTTGGAATGAACGAAAAGCGTGACAAATTATAGCTAAGTCTCTGGAGAGGTGCGTTAAGAAAAAGAACAGTCATCTAGACAGATTGGCTGCTTAAAGATAAGCGTGCGGACTTAATGTCAGGTTAAAATATGAGGATTTCATTGACAAGAAAAAGTGTTACGTCCCCTTGTAGCAGAAATAGACAAGCAAATACGCACACATTCACACACATTACACATCTACTAACATATGCGCACTATATGTGTGTTGAAAAAAATTAAACAGATCTATGTCCCACCGTGTCTGTGAGACTGTCGTTTGATTATATGATACCTATGCTCATTGTGTTTGTTAAAATAGCTCTCACCGCTCGTAATGGATACAAATACAAAACGGAAAAATCGATACGAGAAATCCATCCGTTAATACAGTTTTTATTCCTGTTTAGATTATATATTTAGTCAAATAATAATAATAATAATATCACTGGCGTAAGTTATTATTCATAACGTTTGAAAATTGAAATACAATGAATGAAAATTTATTCGTATCTCAGATACATTGCGTTTGTTCACATTACCTTAGCCGCTAAACACGCGCACACACACTCACCCTTCAGTGTGCGCGCGCGCCATTTATATAATTCAAACGATTATTTAATTTAACTATAAAATGAGCTTATTATTATTGTTTTTTTCTTTCGTTTCGCCGCTTAAGTGTAATTCTATAATTATCCAAAAGTAAAAAGATACATGTTACTAAGAAACAATTATTTTAATATAAGTATCAGAACGCATATATTCTTTTCTGAGTTCACTTTAGATTTTGAAATTACACAACAAAGCCATTAGTACTCATTACAAAATAACGTAAAAATATACATTTCTCTTCAATGTTTGAGTGTAAAATCATTATAAGATTTTAATAAATGTTTAAATATTTTATTGAAAAGGAAACAATAACCTTATTAAAAATTAAAAAAATAATATACGGAAAATAATTTGATGTTATTTCTTCTTTTTTTTTTTTGTGTAAACATATTATGAATTTTTATCTACATATTTTTTTTCCTTGCAAATAAAATAAAATATTTTTTAAGTTATATCATTTTTATTTCTTATATTATAAAATAGTTTATTTAATATTTATTAACAATAATTATAAAATTTCTTGAAATAAAAACTAAGAATGACTAAAATATATTATGTTGTTCATATTTTTTTTAACAATTCTAAAGGTATGTCTAAAGGAATTTTTTTCAATACATACGTAATATAACGTTTGTATCTTGTTGAAGAGAAATACAACCTATGAGTATAATACGAGTAACTTTTAAGTATGTGTGAATTCAAGTGAGTTAGAAAATAAAAATATATTTACAAACGCTAAACTATTTATAGATTTCTAATACACTTTAGTTAACAACTTAAAATTAGAAAAAATAAAAATATAATTTATTTTTACTTTTATTATAATACATCAAACGGAAATAAATGATTTAAAATTTTTCTCAAATATTAATATTATATAATATAATATAGCTAAAATGGTTAAATTGTGTTCTTTAAAAATATACATTATACATTACTATAATGTAATGAATTAACATTTTAAAATTATTTTTTAGTAACATTTAAAATAATTCTTTCATTTTTAGTTGTTATATTAAATGTATAAAACTTTTAATAAAACGCGACATCATTAAAACTAACACTCAAAGCTAACTTTATTTTTATAAATAATTAAACGAAAATTTCATATAATTAGTTTTAATATCTAAGTTCTGGATTAATATGTGTAAATAGTTTAAATGAATATGTTAGAATACTAGCAAAAATTAATAATATTTTATATGGAACAGTATATTTTTTTTCTATTGATAATAATAAAGTATTCTAATTATTAGACACAGGCATATTTTTTAAAAACAATAGTTTTTAGAACATTTAATGAAAATTACATTAGTCACCCGACTATATACATAGATATTTTCACACACAAAATCAAAAAAAAAAATTATTAATAAACAATCGTTTAGGGTATTTTATTGTCAAACAATATATTAAAAAAAAAAAAAAAAATTGTCAGATAATCATGTTCAACTTTCTATAATATACATTGTCTTAAAATATTTATTTTTATAATAATAGTTTTGTCTAAAGATAAACTAAACAAATCCTAGTACACACATGATGAAGAATGTACTCGTAATCTTGTGGTGCATAATTTTACAACGTCTGATCTTGATCCTTAAATTTTGGAAACTTCCGAGTACATGGGGATTATTCAACGCACGTAAACAAAATTACTCAAGTGTATAGGTACTCCGGTTTAAGATGTGATGAATATGTGTATAAAGAATACCTACAGTTAACATCATCTTGTTACGTGGAACAAATAAATAGGTAGGTAGCTCGGATAAAATGTACTGTATAATCAACTGAATAAATAGAGAAAATAACTCCAGTGATCGACTTTTTAAATAATAATACGTAAACTGAGTCATCACAATGACGTGATTATGCTAATGCGCTCACAAACATTTCTATTTGGTTCATAGTATACACAAATTTTGGATTATTATTATGTATCGAATACTATATATTAGGTTTTAGCTGTATTATTCTATGTTTTTCTCTCGTTTAGATAACATTTATATACATGTATCGACATGAAAAAACTTGAAATTCAAGTTAAGGAATGAGTTTGTTACTACAGCATAGTTATTGTTTTAAGCTCATGTCAATTTTTTATTGGTGATCACTCATAAGTAATAATACAAAGCATCATTTACTGAAAATACTAGCAGATAAAAAAAAATAATTTAAACTTTCAAAAATACGTGTTTGATACTGTAAAAAAATTGAGTTTGTCCGAGTATTTTATATTTTTATGAAATGCATAATGGTTTTAAAATTTTTATTTTATAAAATATACCTAAAATGTGTTATAAACACCAAACAATACAAAAAAAAATAATTATTTAAATATAAATAATTACTCGCATAGTTTTAGTATAATGTAATATAATATATATATATATTATTTTTTATTATTACTATCATTTAATATATTATCAATATTACCTATTTTTTTTTTTTTTTTTTTTAAATAATAATAAAAATGTCCATTTTCTCAAATTTAAAATAATACTCTATAAATTGAGTATAAAAGTTAAAAGTTAAATACTTTCTTAGAAATTTGTATTCTTGATAAAAAAAATATAAAAAATATACTAGATTATTCCCAAACTTGATAAATTTGCTGTGTTAACATTTTCATAGTCAGTTTTCTGATAGTAATATACTATGACAGGGGTGAGAAACTCAAAATTACTAAAAGTCCAGTTTTTGGAAAATAAAAATCTAATGGACCAGAGCATATAAAGCAAAAAAAAATCATTCAAAATATAAATTTTAATTATCATTTATTTTGTTTATATTGTAAATTTTAACTTTAAAATTTGGAAATGTAGCACGGGCCAGATAAAATAGGCTCGGGGGTAGCCAGTTGTCCACCATGTCTTATATGGCATTTGTGCCATCGTGATGGATAGAAAGAAATCTATTTAGAAGGTGGTTATCGTCACAATTCACAATGTTATATACTATAATATGAATATTTTATTATTTAAGTACCTGGAACTACGGTCGGCGATATCATTAAGAAATTTATACAAGCGGCTCCGGGCCCGTGACCCATCAGAGAGACGTTCTCCGGATCACCGCCGAATAGCGCGATATTCTGCTGCACCCAATGGAGCACAGCTATTTGATCCATGAGACCGTAGTTGGCCACACGGGCTCTTGAGTTAGGCGAACCGTTGGCGTTTAAAAATCCTGAAAAAAAATAACAAAAACCAATGATTATATTGATGAATTATCCATAGGTATGTAATAGGACATATAGTTAATACATTAATTTTGTTTTTATAACAATTCTTAAAAGTTGAAGTGACCTGTTAAGTTAAATTTTCTGGTATAATATAAGATTAAATTGACTTAAAAATTCTGATTTTGTGCTTAAAAATACTTACAAATGGTCTACTTAACAATAACTGAATTTTAATACGCATAATTGGTGTAAGAAACTAAGAAAGTTAATTTTATGAACATTATACAGCTACTTAATATTCTAGTATAAATATGAAAAATGCATTTAATAAAATAATTTATTAATAAATTGAATTAATTATAAAATAAATCTATAAAAATGTGCATTAATTTGCAAAATATACAATTATTATATTACAATTTTTAAACAAAATTAGTTCAGTTTATACAATATATTATTATATTTAATATATATATATTTACATTAGTTATTATTATTTATATTTTAATTTCATTTTAAAATTCATTGGTATTCGTATCCCACGATAGGATGATTAAATTATTTTGTTTTCATTTTTCCGCATACGAACGGTGTGTTAGAATAATCGTACGGAAATATAAGTAATCAATGGTGTGTAACAACGATGACTTGTATAACGTGGAATTAATGTTATACGAATAATCATTTTAAACTTAACATTAACTATGATCATATTCGTAAACCATAAACTATATTTTGATTCTCGATCGATAACGATGCTTTGATTCAATCAAATTTCTTTTTTTCTGCCTTTAAACAAATGTTATGTTGATGGTGATTAAAAAAAAAAAACTTTATCTCATAAAAAAAAGTTAATTGATAATATAAAAAATTATATTTGTCATAAAATATTGAATTGTTATCTCCTAAAATACGAAGTTGGTAAAAAAATATTCAATATTATACTTAAGTGCTGCAACTTGAAAAAGCAATTTTTAGAAAAGTATCAAAAATTATAATTTAATGAAATATTGTTAATTACAATACTCTACTTATAATTTAGTTAAGGTGAAACATCGAAAATTGAGTCAATAAATTTTGTATCTAGTGAACGTTTATTTCATAGTAAAAAACAGTAGACAATGATTTAAAAGCAGTATATATACACAGTTTTTACGTTCACGCTTAATGTTTCTACTGAATTTTTTTCTAGTAATAAAGCAGTTATTTTATGTGTAATATCTACTGATATATAGAATAAGTTCGTTATTACAAAGTGATTTATAACATATTACTCAAGTTATTATGAATGATTTATAAATATATTTATTTATTTTTATATTTTTATTCAGTTACTGAATTTTCTTCTAAGTAGTAGTAATAAATTAAATTGTTTATATCAAGGCCGTAAATGAGGAAGGTCCAGCTCTAAACCCTCTTCCTCCAAAATTTCTTAAATAATTTAAAAATGTGTGAAATTACTATTTATTTTTAATACCAACATAAATGGCTAAAATTAAAATGTACTAAATTGATTATTGACTGTTTTGTGTCATAATACATATGAAAATATTAATTAAGCGTCTAATAATAGGTAGATGGTTATTGAACGACAACGACCGCTATCGATGCCGATCAACATCTCGATGGTCAACGATGATTAATAACAAAGATATTATATTTTTGTAAATTAAAAATATGATTGTAAATTATAATTGTTTACCGCCGTCCACCAAACAGTTACAAGCACATTGAATTTATTTTTTTTAAACTTATCATAACCAGTCAACTAGATAACAAAAATGTATTATTAAAGTATTGTTTTTAACATTAAAAGGTACCTATGTTATATTATTTCATATATCAATTATCAAGTATTACTATATTAATAATTTATTATTGTTTTAATGCATATTTTACTTTATTTTTAACCAAATATCAAAACCTAAATTTAGTACACACCGTGTGTTCACTAATTTAGGGAATACTGAATTTTGTAAAAATTTATAAAATGTAACCAATAATAAATAATTATAAATGGTTTTTATGCACTAACGAACCGAAAAATGTATTATTTATTAAAATTTAAATGGCTGTTATTCAGTTAATTTTTAACTTAAAAGCATTGTTAATACATCAAAATTATCTTAAAAAGTTAAGCCTATCCGAATATGGTGTTCAAAATGGGTGATGCTATTAAAAAAAAAAAAATGTACCGAAATTATAAGAATTTTAAAATACATCTCTAAATGTGTATTTATATACCACCATCTTTTAAAAAATTTGATTTATTTCAATATATTCTGGCCAAGAAATTCAATGTTTTTTTAATTGGTGAACACACGGTATACATTATACAAGTTTTAGACCCCCTCCAAAATGGCCTTGGATAATACAATATTATTAATACTACATTTTATGATTGTTTAATAGTGTTTAATATTAAATTTGAGTAATGCAAGAGTAAAAAACAATAACTTCTTTATTACAAGAAGAATACTAAAAATAATTAATTTATACTAAAATAAACGATTTTATTTTTAATATTTTTATCAAAATTGTCTATTGTTTTCAAAAATAAGGTATATTTAAAAAATGTAATTATTTTAGAAAAAACAAAAGACTTAATTTCCCCATTAATTTTAGTTACTAACTATTTCTTTTACCAATAGAAGTGTAAAATAAATAGGTATAATAATGATAAACTGTGTGTTTCAAAAACAAATTATGCAACTATATTGCATGTATAAATGTTTATCAAAATAGCTATTTGTAATTTAAAATATAAATAATTATTGTATTCACTTTTACTTAATATATTGTCTTAAGACAATGTAATGCTATTTAGATAATTCGCTTGAATAAATAGCTGCATACGAATTGTTTCCCTAAAAATTAAAATCGAGTTGCATCCGCAGTTTTCGCATAATACATTTGAGCTGTGTTAACTGTTTTTACAGTAACTGTTCCGAATTGTGCCCGCAAAAATAATTACTATTCTATTTTTATATATTTAGTAATAAGCTCGTAGATAACTTAATAATCGATACCTTATCTGTTAATACCTCTTTATAATTTATTGTTGGAAATTAATTTTGATCAATTTAACTTCAGTTACATTGCGATAGGTATTCACTTATTAATATAATAAATAACATGAAAATGAAGTATCTTGAAACAATTCAAATATTTAGTGAAAAAAATAAACAATTACGTGCATTGTATTAATAGATACAAATTTACATTCCAAATATTTTTAAATGGTAATTTTTAGAGGTGGTTATGCTTAAAACGTTTATATAAATGTTATTTTAAATTGAACGAAAATATTATATTTACTAACAGGTAAGACTACATTATCAGTGTATAAAGATGCGTTTTTTAGTTTATTAAAATATAAATATAATTTATGCAGACTTCAAACAATCTATGCATTTAGCAGTTTTATTTTTCCTGAAGTTATACGCAAAAGCTGTAGATTTCGCCTTGGAAAATCTATTTTAAGAAAAATTCAATATAATAGTCTGTCTACAGTCTTTAAAAATAAATCTGAAATTGGAAAATATTTAAAATAATTTTTTTTGGTCTTTCATTTTTAAAATCCAATGAAGTTAATAATTGTTTTTATGAAGACCTGATAGCTAAAAAACCTAAGATCAAAGAATAGATGATTTTTTAAATTATTTTGAAGAAAATTATATTTCGTTAGAAAGTAACTTTCAACCGTTGATACAGACCGAATTCTCAAACTCATTAATTTGTACGACCAATACATATGAATCGTTTCACTAGAAATAAAATGAAATGTTTTATTCATCATATTCTAATATTTTTCAGTTTATAGAAGTATTGAAAAATGTTCAAACTGACATTTATATTAAAATTCGAAGTTCAAATTTAACAAACAAGCAAAAAAAGGAAGCAGAAAAAACAATTATTAAAAATACTATAATTCAGAATGAAACAAAAAATATACCACGTCTTAGGTTCGTTTAAAAATTGGTGTACAAAAATTAACCTATTTTATAAAATTAAAAAAAAAAAAATCATATAAATTTAGAACAATTAATAATTTTAGTATACATAGTAATAATAATATTCTTAACTATATCATTTATATAAATAGCAATCTTCAAACTGTAAAAGTGAAAATACAAATATGTATACATCAATATAATTATTGTATATTATATAACTAACCAGGATGTAACTCATACGTGTCGTGAGGAAATTTCAGACGCAACTCGGATATGTCGTTACATAATATCTAAAGTATATTTTTATCCTAATAAAATATATAAAAAATTAAGCATACACAAAATAAAAGATATCTTATCAAATTTGTATAATTTAAGTCAAAAATATTACCTAAGAATTATAATTTTTTACAAAAATAAATGTAATTGGAATATAATTTCTTCAATTGATTTTTAATTTTTTAATTTACCTACAAATTACAATCAGTCGCGAACGCAGGGTAGTCTTGGGTGTTTAACCCCTTCTCCTGAAATATCAGGAACAAAAAATAAATTTCCTGACCTACAAATGTATAACTAGTAAATAAATTAAAATAAGTTACTAGTTATGAAACAATATTATAGTAATATTGTAATACAATAAAATAAAAAAATTATCATTTTACTATATGATGCAGTGAGTATGTTATAAATATTTATGAACATTTTTTCAACTCTATCCCTCGAAATTCTTTCCTGCGTTCGCGACTGCCTGCAATATCTTATACGATATAAGTCTAATTAATTAAATACAATTTATAATAGATTAATAACGACCTATTGTTCAATAATAAATAAATAATTGCAGATTATTGAACTAAATATTGAATATTTTAGTAATAAATAAATCATATTATTGAATAATAATGGATAATAATTATTACAAGTAAACATTAATTACAATTTTATTTTTATAAAATTTATTTTTGTATTATGTAACTCAATTTTTAAACAACAGTTAATTATTTGGTATTTAAAAACAAACTGAAGAAACAAATATAAATAATAAT